AAAAAAAAAAAAAAAATGTAACAAGATTCAGAGTTGTGACAAGGATCAGGAATCGGCTCTCAGGTGAGTAATAGCTAGATAATGTTGTGCCTGCCAGTGTTACACAATAAGGATAAAAGACAAATATAAGAGCTTTGCTTCAGGAGAGTTAATTTAGAAATAGACAAATTAATTAAAATCACTCAACATTTGACAGCATATAGTCAAGCACTTAGTTATGTCTTGTATAGTTTAAGTGCAAGGTAAGTCATAAAAAACTAAGGCTAAAATGATTGTCTCTCATATGGGATACTCAATATGATCCACTAAGGTTCTAGGAAAAGGGAATGATCCAGTGAATTAAGAAAAAAGACATCTTTAGGGTGGTGCCTGTGGCTTAGTGAGTAGGGTGCCAGCCCCATATACCAAGGATGGTGGGTTCAAACCGGGCCCTAGACAAACTGCAACAAAAAAATAGCCAGGTGTTATGGCAAGCTCCTGTAGTCCCAGCTACTCGGGAGGCTGAGGTAAGAGAATCACCTAAGCCCAAGAGCTGGAGGTTGCTATGAGCTGTGATGCCACAGCACTCTGCCAAGGGTGACAAGGTGAGACTCTGTCTCTAAAAAAAAAGAAGAAAAAAGACATCTTTATATTAAAGATAAATATACACTGTTATGGTTTGATTAGGGTCCTCAAACGGCACATGCCGGAAATTTAACCACCACTGTAAGAACATTAAGAAGTGAAACCTTTAAAAGGTGATTAGGCCTTCATGAATGGGTTAATGCCATTGTCATGGGAGGGCTCCTCACCAAAGGACCAGGAAGTCTAGCCCCCTTTTGTCTGTTGTCTGTGTCTCTCTGTCTCCTCTCTTTGCCCCTCTAGCCCAGGATGCAGCAGGAGGCCTTCACCAGATGCCTGCCCCTTGATCTTGGACTTTTCTGTCCCCAGAACCACAAGAAATAAATGTCTATTTATCAATTACTTAAGTCCATGGTATTCTGTTGTAGCATGCACATAACTGAGCATGAATGAAAAAAGGAAAATTCACGGTGTACACTTAAACTTTGTACTGACAGTCATTTGATAATTAAAATAATTTGAAACCTTTTCATGGTGGTGTCATGCTGTAGATACTCCTTAAAGTGGAGACACAGTAAAAGGGAACATTTCAAGAAAAATATTCTAAGGAAATGCTCATAGATGTACTTAGAAATTTCTTCTTAGTAGTAGTCATTCACAGTATCATCTAAAATAGCAAAACCTGGCAGTGCCTGGAAAGGCACCGGCCACATACACTAGGGTGGCAGGTTCAAACCTGGCCTGGGCCTGCTAAGCAACAATGACAACTGCATCCAAAAAACAGCCAGGCATTGTGGCAGGCGCCTGTAGTCCCAGCTACTTGGGAAGCTGAGGCAAGAGAATCACTTAAGCCCAAGAGTTTGAGGTTGCTATGCGCTGTGACTCCAGGGTGACAGCTTGAGACTATCTCAAAAATAAATAAATAAATAAAATAAAATAGCAAAACTTTAGAAAAAGCTTAAATGTTCAATAAGTTTATTGGTTAGTCAATTATAATATGTGCAAAAATACATGCACTTAAAATGGCATTATTACTATCTTTCTTTTGTGATGTTGCTTGGCTGGTAAATGTTTTGTTCCAAGAGTTGCTGATCCAATATTGTATTACTTTATTTGAATATTTTTCATGTATGTTCACCAGTGACACTGGTCTTTGGTTTTTTTTTTTTATTTTTATTTTTTGAGATAATCTCACTTGTTGCCCTTAGTAGAGTGTTATGGCATCACAACTCACAGCAACCTAACTCCTGGGCTTAAGCGATTCTCTTGCCTCAGCCTCCTGAGTAGCTGAGACTACAGGGGCCCGCCACAACACCCAGCTATTTTTATATTTTTTATTTATCTATTTATTTGGGTGGCGGGGTGGGTGCCTGCAGTTAGCATTGTTTAGCAGGCCCAGGCCAGGTTCAAACCCGCCAGCCCTGGTGTATGTGGCTGGTGCCCTAACCACTGAACTACAGGTGCCAAAGCCTAGTCTTTGGTTTTCTTTTTTATTTTAGAGACAGCCTCACTTTGTCACCCTCGGTAAAGTACCATGGCATCACAGCTCACAGCAACCTCCAGCTCTTGGGCTTAGGTAATTCTCTTGCCTCAGCCTCCTCAGTAGTTGGGACTACAGGCACCCGCCACACCGCCCAGCTATTTTTTTGTTGCAATTTGGCCTGGGCCAGGTTCGAACCCACCACCCTCTGTATATGGGGCCCTACTCATTGAGCCACAGGCGCTGCCACTGGTCTTTGGTTTTATGTTTGTTTGCAGTTTTTGGCCAGGGCTGGGCTTGAACGCACCACCTCCAGCATATGGGGTCACCGCCTTACTCCTTTGAGCCACAGGCACAGCCTGGTCTTTGGTTTTAAAGGGCGAATTTACCTTTGGTTTTGGAGAAATAAATTAAAAAATCAAATATCCTGCCTATGTAGAAAATCCTCTCCACAACTATAGAAAAGAAAGAATACAGGCTCGGCACCTGTGGCTCAAGCGGCTAAGGCGCCAGCCACATACACCTAAGGTGGCGAGTTCGAATCCCCAGCCCGGGCCCGCCAAACAACAATGACGGCTGCAATCAAAAAATGGCCAGGCGTTGTGGCGGGTGCCTGTGGTCCCAGCTACTTGGGAGGCAGAGGCAGGAGACTCGCTTGAGCCCAGGACTTGGAGGTTGCTGTGAGCTGTAATGCCACGGCACTCTACCCAGGGGGACAGCTTGAGGCTCTGTCTCAAAAAAAAAAAAAAAACCTGATATTTCTACTTACCCAAGTATTAGAGTTATACTAGCATGATAACACAAACTGAAAATCTTTCAGTCTTTTCCTACTTTCCACAATGATTTTTAAATGATTAGCTTTTACAAATTTCATTTGATAAACTAAATAAAAAATTCAACAGTACATTAAATGCATAAAACACTGTTTCATTCCACAAATACAAAGACATTTATTTTGGTTTAAACACATATTAAACATATATTAAATACATATATGAATGTCACTACTATTAATGGCTTAAAGAGGAAACTCTACGTCATCTCATCAGTAAATACTCTTTTCCCTTTATTTAGAGCAGGATTTGTCCACCTACCCACCACTGGTGTTGAGCTGGGTAACTCTGTTGTTGGGAGTAGTCCTGTGCCCTGCAGGATGGTAAACAGCCCCCTGGCCTCTACCCACTAGATGCCAGGAGCAATACCAGCCTACCCCTACCCTGATTCTAACAACCAAACGTCCCCAATGGGTAGGGCCAAAGGTAGCAAAACTGCCTCTGCTTGAGAACCACCTCTTTAGAAAATTAGTGCAGTTCCTTGAAAGACCCTCTCAGGCGTCTCTATCCACACACAGGTGTTTTCTCAGTTCAGTGTAACTTCACTGTCACCTCTTCTTCAACCAAAACCCAGCTCCAGCCTTGCTTCCCCAGGGATGCTTCTTCCTTACGCTTCAATTGCCTGGGCAGCCTGTGGCGTTCACTCATCTTTGTCCTCAAAAGAACATAGGAGATCTGTCTCAGCACTTATTTTTTGTTTCAGATTAATGTTAAGGGCACAGGTAATTAGTTTACAATGTTAGGTCAAGTCCAAGTTGCAGTTGAGCCTTCACCCAGGAGGTGTGCTGTATACCTCTACATCGTGCCCATTAGGTGAGAGCACACCAATCCCCCACCCCCTTAATTATGTTTTTCTCTCATGTGGGTATGAGTTGTTCATCTACTGGCTTCATATTAGCATCAAGCTAGAAAACTTCTGCACAGCTAAGGACCCAACAAGTAAAGCAAAGAGCATGTTACAAATCTGACAAAGGGCTGATAACCAGAGTCTACAGAGAACTCAAACTAATGAACAAAAATAGAACAAACAATCCTATTTATCATTGGGCAAAAGACATGAACAGAACCTTCTCGGAAGAAGATAGATGAATGGCCAACAAAAATGAAAACATGCTCATCACCCCTAATCATCAGAGAAATGCAAATCAAAACCACCCTGGGATATCACTTAACCCCAGTGAGAATAGCCCATATCACAAAGTCCCAAAACTGTACATGCTGGCACAGTTGTGGAGAGAAGGGAACACTTTTACGCTGTTGGTGGGACTGCAAACTAATACAACCTCTTTAAAAAGAAGTATGGAGAATCCTCAAAGAGCTAAAAATAGACCTTTCATTTGATCCTGCAACCCCATTACTAGGTATCTATCCAAAATTTAAAAAAAAACATTTTACCGTAAATGTTTATTACACCTCTATTCACAATTGCCAAAACATAGAATCGACCCAAGTGCCCAATCAACCCAGGAACAGATTACTAAATTATGTATACTATGGAATACTATTCAGCCATAAAAAAGAGATAGAGACTTTTTGTGTGTGATGAGACTTAACACAAAAATAGAAAAGTATCCTAGCACTTATTTTAATTTCTCATGCTTTCTTACTTTTCTACCAGTCCTGCACTGCTCAATACAGTAGCCACTAGCTAATTTGGCTATATACATTTAAATTAACTAAAATGTAAAAATAATACAATTAAATAAAACTTGAAATTCAGTTCCTCAGTTGCTCTAGCCACAGTTCAAGTACTCAACAGTCATATGGGGCTAGCGGCTACTGTATTGGCCGGCACACCCATAGAACACTTCCACCAAAGTAAAAAGTTCTCTGAGACAATGGCACACTAAATCATTAAGTCCCTTGTGTCAGTGTACACCCAAATTCGTGCACAGCTTTTCCTAACATTGTGTATTTTAGCATTTAGAAGATAAATCAATGAGATTTTGGCATTAATTCATCTTAGCTTTTATTTTTTTTAAGTTTTTTTCAATTCTAATTATCTAATGTTCCCAAGAAAATAGACTCTGCCTAACATGTATGTCTGCTACTCATGTTCTCACCAATGCTGGCTTCACTTTGTATCTCATAATTCTGCCCTATTATGTTTCCATCACTCAATTTACTGCCTGTCATTTATTTACTTAGAATCTGTTTTATACAGGTACCACTCTGGGTACCAAGATATGACAGTCAACAAAGAAGAAAAAATATTCCTCCCATCAGGAGGAGAGAAACATTGAGTACATGCATACCCTAAACAGAGCACATCAGCTGGTAGGTGATAAGTGCTAAGCGCGTGCATATACTAAACAGAGCCCGTCAGCTGGTAGGTGGTAAGTGCTGAGCGCGTGCATATACTAAACAGAGCGGTCAGCTGGTAGGTGATAACTGCTGAGCGCATGCATATACTAAACAGAGTGTGTCAGCTGGTAGGTGTTAAGTGCTGAGCGCATGCATATACTAAACAGAGTGTGTCAGCTGGTAGGTGATAAGTGCTGAGCGCGTGCATATACTAAACAGAGCCCGTCAGCTAGTAGGTGGTAAGTGCTGAGCGCCTGCATATCCTAAACAGAGCGGTCAGCTGGTAGGTGGTAAGTGCTGAGCGCCTGCATATCCTAAACAGAGCGGTCAGCTGGTAGGTGATAAGTGCTGAGCGCGTGCATATACTAAACAGAGCCCGTCAGCTGGTAGGTGATAAGTGCTGAGCGCGTGCATATACTAAACAGA